GTGCTTTGTGGATTTGGAGAAGGCTTATGACCGTGTCCCCAGGGGCACCCTGTGGGGAACGCTCCAGGAGTATGGGGTGGGTGGCTTTCTGTTAAGGGCCGTTCAGTCCCTTTACCAGAGGAGCGTGAGTTTGGTCCGCATAGCCGGTAGTAAGTCAGACCTGTTCCCGGTGAGGGTTGGACTCCACCAGGGCTGCCCTTTGTCGCCGGTTCTGTTCATAACCTTTATGGACAGAATTTCTAGGCGCAGCCGTGGTGTGGAGTGTGTCAAGTTTGGTGGCAGGAGAATCTCGTCTCTGCTTTTTGCGGATGATGTGGTCCTCCTAGCTTCATCCAGCTCTGACCTTCAGCTCTTGCTGGGTAGGTTCGCGGCCGAGTGTGAAGCGGCTGGGATGAGGATCAGCACCTCCAAATCTGAGACCATGGTTCTCGACCGGAAAAGGGTGGCTTGTCAACTCCTGGTCGGGAGAGAGGTCCTACCTCAAGTGGAGGAGTTTAAGTATCTCGGGGTCTTGTTCACGAGTGAGGGTAGGAGGGATCGGGGGATCGACAGGCGGATTGGTTCAGCATCTGCAGTGATGCGGACGCTGAGCCGATCTGTCGTAGTGAAGAGGGAGCTGAGCCAGAAAGCCAGGCTCTCGATTTACCGGTCGATCTACGTCCCAATCCTCACCTATGGTCATGAGCTTTGGGTAATGACCGAAAGAACGAGATCGCGGATACAAGCGGCCGAAATGAGTTTCCTCTGTAGGGTGGCCGGGCTCAGCCTTAGAGATAGGGTGAGGAGCTCGGACATTTGGGAGGGACTCGGAGTGGAACCGCTGCTCCTCCGGATCGAAAGGAGCCAGTTGAGGTGGTTTGGGCATCTGGTCAGGATGCCTCCTGGACGCCTCCCCGGGGAGATGTTTCGGGCATGTCCTGCCGGCAGAAGGCCCCCGGGTCGACCCAGGACACGTTGGAGAGGTTACATCTCCAATCTGGTCCGGGAACGCCTTGGGGTCCTGCCGGAGGAGCTGGTGGAGGTGACCGGGGAGAGGACGGTCTGGAGCTCCCTAGTTGGGATGCTGCCCCCGCGATTTGGACCCGGATAAGTGGAGGAAGACGACAACAACGACGACTTCATCAAGATACATGTCAACATCACATTAATGAAGCACAACTTTAGATCTGAAGCTAAATGGCAGATTGAGTTTTCAGGTTTCATTATATAATTATAATCATTAATGTTGTTCAGGATTCTTTAAACTCATCATTAAAATGTTTCTGCTCACAGAAAGGTCTGATTCATCACAAAACCGCTGCTACTTCATACATAATATTCAGGTTTTTACGTTTTTGCGTTTGAATGATCTGGTTTTGTTTCAGCTAATGTTCTGTTAATAACTCTAGAGTTTTAATGTTTGTTTCTGCAGACCTATATCCCCACTGTGGGATTTATTAAGTCTATATGTCATTTTAGCACACCACGATTTATTGATCCGTGTTGTTTTCTGTTTCCTGGTTACATAAATGCAGATTTAGAAAACAATATTAAAACATTTACATGGTTAGGTTTTAGAAATTTGACAAGAACATGCATAAAAGTCTGTTTTTCTAACATTTGACTTATTAAAAAACATTTTTGCATGATTCAGAGAAACAAAAAATCTGGGAAGGGAAAAATGTAAGACAGTAATTTTGAAAAAAGCTATGTTACAGATAAATGCTATTCAAACTCATTTGAATATTTAGTTTTATGCAACCTTTTTATAACTGGAAGATGTTCCTTTACATGAAACTGTCATCTTCCTGAATTTATATTTTAGACTTAACTGGGTCTTTAACTGCAGCTCCCTTGAATCCACACAGAGGCAGAACCCAAACGGACCTGTTCCAGAACTCAAAGCTAATGCACGTTGCTCAGATTTCCTGGTTTAAACATTTCTCTAAGCTAAAAGACTAAATATTATAGGTTTTTCTACTCAGGCTCCTGTATTTGAGTTTATTAATGCGTCCAAACAGACTATGGTCATCAGAACCTGCTCAGACATGGTTCACTGACTGTGTCGTCTGGATAAAGACAAGAAGAAATGCCACAGCAGGTTTCAAACCTCCCATCATCTGCTCAGTTAATTAGCAGCACGCTGATTGGAGATTTGGCTCGTTGCACATCCAACATTCAGCAGCTTTGCTCCATGAGAGCAGATTCCTCTGGAAGGTTGGAAAACATCCGTGTTGTTAACTCGGCCGCAGAAGGAAACATTTACTGTTTCAGATTGTTTTAGAGCAATCTGAGGTGTGAGGGTGCGGTTAGCATCATCTAACCCACTGCTCCAGAGTACAGCAGCATGTGCCTCCTCCAGCACGAAAGGTCTCCATCCCAGAGCTGGAAGGCGGAGTCGGTGGATGCTGGAGGCTGAGTGAGCTCACAGTGAGCAGAGGAAAGTAGGTCAGAGACACGGAGCAATCAAGCATGAGAGCAGAGCAGCATCTCTCAGCTGAGCTCCGAGCAGAAGAAAAGGCCGCATCACAAAACCTGCTTGGTTTTTGGGTCGGAGCCGCTCCGGTTCTGAGGAAACGACACCACTTACCCATAATTTACCTTTTTGTCTTTAACAACACATGAAACAGAAATGCTAAATACCTGCTGAGCTCCTTTAGTTTCGGTTGTTTTAGACTTTTTCATAAGAAACCTGATAAGAAATAACAGATTCTGGCTCCGTTTAAGGTTTCGTTGCTGCTGCTCAATGGTTTTTGCTTTTGTAAACATGCAGAAAGTTTATTTCATAGTTAATCATAATTTTAATAGAAAGCTTGTTCCTCCCAAACTGAAAAATGTAATTAAAAATAATGCAATTCAGTTAGGTTGTAAAATTACCTTTAAAATGCTGGAAATCAAATGTATTTAATAGATTAAATAACAATCTTTTTTCAACAACAGACCAGTTTGACTCTCACCCCAGCTCTCTGTTCTGGTGCAGAAACGTGACTCTCATCAGATCATTTCAGTCAACTAGAAAAAGTGTCAAAGTTCATCAGCACGTCTTCAGGTTTGTTTTGATTGTGATTGTATTTTGAACTTTGACCTGTTGTGGTGAACTGATAGTAGCAACACAGTTTAACACGTCTACAGCTAAGAGATCTTGCAGGATCCTGCTCCTCCTATCAGGATCTGCCTTGTTTGCTCTCCAGCGGTCTGAGCTCCCGGATCCCGACCGGACGGCCTCTCTGGGATTGTCTCACTTGGCAAACATACAGCTGTCTTCTTGTTGTTTGGATTCTGTCATGTGTGAAGCTACAATGAGAGTTGTGTCCAGGAGCTGAGTGAGAGAACACATTCATTGTAGAAGACACTCAACTATTTATATTCTGATGGCGTCCTCCTCTTTTGTTAAGAATGAAAGTCTGTTTCTTTAAAAGAAAAGTTCTTTTTTTTCACATTTTGGTCCATCAGCAACTCACTTCAGATCTGTCACCAAACAGTACAAAATATTTAAAACTCTTGACTTTCTTTTGAAGTCAGAATGTCATTTTTATTACACACCAGAAAAATCTATTTAATAATCTGTAAGAAACTCCATTAAAAGGAAAGTTTGCCTCCTGTGATGAGAGAGAAAACTCAAGGTTTTATAAAGGTAAAGGAGAAAATGTAAAGAGTAACTTTCATCCTATCAACAGAAGAGTGAGCTTGTGTTTGTTTGGGCTCCAACGCCGTCTGCATGAATGCTGGAGCACAAACAGATACACACTGAGTGAAGGTCACATAGCTGAGTCCAGTCCACCTTTATGGGTGGTTTCATAGATTTGCAGTTCCCATGGCAACACTTTTAGTGACAGTTAAATCAGTTCAAGCAACGACATTCTGTTAAAGGTAACAGGAGCTGCACTGTCCTTTTACATTACTAACCCACGGAACATTCTGCACTGAAGTGTTTTTTAAAGAGCAAGTCACCCCTACCAGAGTCTTACTCTACTCCCACTTCCTGTTTGAAAAATGCAACAAATGTCGTTGCCTGGCAGACCGAGAGGGTAAAGCCGCTAACAAATACACACACACACACACACACACACACACACACACACACACACACACACACACACACACACACACACTGGCTCACAATGACAATGTGACATCATAATGTACCAGATAACTTCATAGTGTACCTCTTAGCCAATAGGGATGGAAGATTTAAATTCAAATGCAGTGCAGAGTTTTTACCTGATGATGGCGCAACACTGACAGTTTTAGGCAGAATATTTAAATTTTAACTAAGATGCACTAAATTGCCAAATTAGTGATTACACATGTCTACAGCACAATTAGACACTTGTTTATATGGTTTATCAGCAAAAAAAAAGTTGACTCCTGGGACTGTTTTTCTTTATTATTCACCCACTTGTTCCTTGATCATTTTAGATGTACTGATCATTGGTCCCCACTCCTGGCTGGATTATTTGCAACACCCCCCCCCCCCCCCCCCCCCCACACACACACACACACACATACACACAGTTGTATTTTTTAATCTCCTCATGTGGATGTAGTTTTAAATCCCAGTCACACACCTAGTTGTAGTTTGTTATCTCCAATCACACATCTGGCTGTAGTTTATAATTGCCCAACTTAGTTCTAAGTCATAAACCAAAACTTGTTAGATTCTATTATCATCACATCTGGTTGTAGTTTAGAGCCCCCCCCCCCCCCCCCCCCCCCCCACACACACACACACACACACACCTGGTTGTGGTTTGTAATCAGAATATGCTTGTAGTTTAGAATTCCTCACACACACACACACACACACACACACACACACACACACACACACCTGGTTGTAGTTTAGAGCCCCCCCACACCTGGTTGTAGTTTTTAATCAGAATATGTTTGTAGTTTAGAATTCCTCACACACACACACACACACACACACACACACACACACACACACACACACACACACGCACACACACCTGGTTCAAGTTCTGTCTTCAGCACCTTACGTTTGTGTTATGTACCATTATTTACTCCACCCTCCTGTAACCTCGGCGCTGTGCTTGGTCAGTGTGTCGTGTGTTTATGTAGCTTCAGACTTTGAGCAGTAAGGTCCCTCAGAGAGATCATCAGACCAACATGTTGATGAGTCAAAGTGGGTCTGTAAGGGAAAGTGAAGCTGCCAAATCACCATGACAACCGAACGAGCCATTTGGATGTTGAGACTGATTATAGCTTAAGCTCCTTCACAGCAGGGTGTCTGAGGGCAAAGAAAAATATGATTTGATCTGAAATATGCCACTGTAACTGGAGGTTTGGATTTAATCTGACATGTAATCCTCTTTTTCATGAGATTTGGCACAGTTCCGGTTTAGTCTGGGTTTGTCTCTGGGGTCAGGGTGAAAAATGTGCTTGGTAACGAATGTCTGTGCTGGTTGAAGTTTTGCTGTGAAGTCAGAGAGGTTGTTCAGGAAGAAGGACGACATGCACACGAGCTGAAGGACTATTTTTATCAGTGACGCTGTAACACGAAGCACCAAGTCCACCTCAGGGTGTATAAATATCAGTGACAGTGTCTGTTTACATTTTGAGGTGATGGACTGGGTTTTACATGCCGGAAGGCAAAGTGTCCAACAAGTACGTCATCGTTACCTTTAATCCCTCGTTTTCCTTGTCAGCTGTGGTTCAAGTGCAGTTTATGACTTGGTCTGATCTGGGTTCATTTGATCTTTTGCAGCCTGACCTCTGACTGGCCATGGAGTACATGAACAACGCCTCGAACAGCTACAGCTGTGGAGACGCGGTTAGCGCCTCCTTAGCTAACATGACCATAAACGAGCAGCATCACCAGGAGAACGGCGTCCAGATGGGACACCGAGGCGCCGGAGATGCCAAGATGAAAGGTCAGACAGGAAATACACACAGAAAAAAAAATACTAAATAAAAATATATTAGGTCTTAAAATCAGAGTAAAACATATTTTGAGTGAGTAGCAGGGAATTTATTACAGTTGAGACTGAACGATTCAGTAGTGCATTTAACATCTAAACCAGCTAAAGCTGTGGGAAGGCAGAAGGTTCTCCAAGTGCTCTTACATGACAGCAGCTCTCAACAGAGGGAGTTTACTGGACTCGTTTCTTTATATAGAAATATAAAGAGTACAGCATTTCTCAGAGGGGTTATTGTGCTTCAGCTGATAACTTCAGCTTCCTGAGAGACACATGAAAACAAAGAGTGGTGACGTTAATTTATGATGACAGCAGACGCTCCTGAGTCCTGGTTCCATCCAGATTACAGGAGCAGGTCTACGCAGAGGCATGGGATGGACTAGACATCATATTTGGATCTTATATCAAAAGAAAAACGTGCATTTGGTGGAAATTATTTGACTTTTTTATTGTTTCTGATATTATCCAACCACTTAGTCTAGAATCTTCTAGACCATTATTGGTGACTTTGCTTTGCACATTGGTCTAGGCGTGATCCACTGGAACCTCTGCAGCCAGTATTGTGGCTGTGACATATTTAGGATGGCTAGCCGGGATGGCAACCTGTGGCAACAGTGTAAAAAAAAGGAAACTTTTAGTGGACCACCAAACATTTTTCATCATTTTTAAAAAATAAAATCCACATTATTTTTAGATTTCCATTGATTTGTAACTAGATCTTTGTTATTTTAACTATCTACCTGTGAAGTCATGCCTGATGGAGTGGAAGTGGTCTTTGGATGGTTTGGATCTCGATAATAAAGTCTCAGCTGAGGTGCTAATGCTTCCGTGTGTGAAGGACTGAGCTTGATTAGAGCAGAAACACACACACAGCTATTTACATACAAACTAACGATGGGATATTATTTAATGTTTAAACAGAATAATAAATCATTTAATCTTTTCTTCTCCAGCTGTATCCTATACATGGAGTCATCACTGATGTTGTGCATCTGCCCTAATCGTCTTTATGGCTTTAATGACTGGTTTTCCTACAGGGGCTGATTAGAGATTTTTAACAGTTGCTGGTAGAAAAATAAAATCTAAATAGTTTAACTCTTAATTGCTGACAGCTACTGTTGTTTATAATAATTATTTATTTAGTTACAGCTGTAGCTAATCCTTTCATGGGTGTGCAGTGCTATCCTACTTTATCGCCTCCAGGTTAGAGATTAGAGCTGGTGTTTTCCTGTTAGAGCTTTAATCCCTGAACGCAGCCTGAATATTTGACATTTTTAAACAGAGTTTAGTGAGGGTCGGTGTTCGGGGTGGGAGCAAGGGGGCCAGGCCCCTGACGCTTAACCCTGACTGTTAGTTCTCATCTCTCTAACGGCTGAATGCGGCTGCAGTGTGGTCTGTAATCCCAGCGTCTGGGTCAGACCTCCTAGAACCAGTCCGGTCTTTGTCCTCTCTGTTACTGTCGCGCTCTGTTCACCCCAACAACCAGACCCTCAGAGCTTCAGCTGTTTATTATCTGCAAAGAAAAATGTTTCTTTATCAAACCAGTCAATATAAAGCTGTGTAATCAGAGTACCTTTGGTACCATTACAGTAAGGGACACAGTATGTGAAGCATTCTGAAATAATCTCAAATAGATCTAATATTATACGATTTTATGTGTCATAAATAAGCTTGAAATAAAACAGAAGGCCCCAAAAGTTGCAGTTTGGCATCATATCATTGTTTTTCTTTCATGGATGAGTTTGACTCACGACAGTAGGAGCAGTACCACCGACTGTCCACTAGTGGCCGCATGACAGAGTAGCAAGCCGGTTTATGATGAACTTTCTGTTTATCACTAGTTAGGGTTGGCGTTAGAACAAAGAGCCTGTTAGAGCATGTCTTCATTCATTCTGAAACCCGTTTCTGTGTCAGAGTTATTCAGAATTATTTTCTTACATGTTGTATATTTCTTTGTGCACAGTCTCGATTCAGAGACAGATCCCAAGATGGATGAGCTAACGGCCAGTTTGAGCCGAGACCAAAGACCAAATGACTTTAGAATCACAGGTTTCCACGTGCGTGGATAAAATGTTCTCTTTAGACCTCCTGATTTTACTGAATAACATTTCCATAACTGGGTCCATCAATTATCATCTGACCCCTTGCTCTTACATCACCTGCTCACGTGGGTGCACCAAGGTGGACGTCAGCAGTGAGTTAAGGGAGCGTTGAACAGAGGGCAAAGTGAAATATGTGAAACTTGAAACGCGAAAATAAAACATGAAATATAATAATAACGTTAATCTTATGATGTAAAAAGTGTTTGCTGCAAATTTGCAAACACTTGGAGGGCTGCCAGTCGTTTGGATAGATAGCTGCTGTCCATCACCATCTCCTGTCTCCATCAGACGTTTACAATAAAAGGACACGTTGGGTTTACCCATATCTGCAGCAAGCTGTTACCATTTAACCGTGAAACCGTTTTGGTCTGGTTTACGGGAGTTGTGATGCATGTAAATAGTTCCTTTGAAGTCCATCATGGAAAAATAGGCGCGCAAAGGGTCAAAGGGTAAAATTCCACATCGTACTTATCTACCTAGTCACTAGATTACATTGTTTTCTAGTTTCTTTCTTGAGTTCCTGCAGAAATGTCTTGTTTGTTTTCCCTTTATCCCCCAACAATGGAACGGCTGTTTAGTACGTAGCTTAGCTTTTCCCAGTCTGCAGCCCTCGCTAGTGCGGCCGTTCTCCCCGTTCCCACTTCCCTTCATCACATGCAGGAGCAGGAGGCAGTCCACAGGTGCAGGTGCGTCTGCAGAGGTAAACAGCAGTGAAACGCCGAGTGAGTATCTCATTAAAGAGGTGGTTGTGTGTAGAGGCTGTAGTAGTGGTGTAGCTGTTCCTATGGTTACAGGAAATGTAAAATCTCTAGTGGTCGTCCATTTGTTAGCTGAAGTTAGCATCTCTTAACTTTTCAAATAGAAGTTAGTTTAACTAACTAACTAAAATATGATGGCAACGGATCTCACCACCACAGGAAAAGACGTGTTATGGGACCCTGAGATTTTATTCAATAAAACCACAACTTGTTCTTTATCCTGAGTTTCCCACTTTTTCCACTGGAATTATTTTTGTTTCCTTGTAGTTTTTAATATTTCATACTCATTATTTTGTCTTACAATTTTTAAGCATACATTACGATTCTGAATATCTCATCGCTCACAATCTCATTTGCACCAGTCCCACACCAGTCCCACACCAGTAGTACTGTACTCAAACCAGCCACAGTTTCAATTCAGCTCTCCTCAGATCATCTAGTCCTGTAGTTTTTATTTACAGTCTCAATCTTTTCTTGTTCAGTAATATTTTATTCTGTTATGAAGAGAATGTATCCAGTAATAAATTTACTTTTGCTGAGATAAACATGCGCATTCACACCGGAGCAGCGACTCTGCTCGGTCATCTGGTTTCACTCTTGAACTTGCAGAAATGATTTTAATAGTTTTTATTCAGGTCTTTACATCCAACAAAAATAACAATGCTTTGTTTACAGAATCGTTTCTGAGACGGCGTCTGCTGAGATTATAAACCTTACCAATAAACGTTCACATCTTTAATCTAGTTAGATTAAAACAGTCTTTAGCTCATGTAAACGGTTGTTTTATTCTAAATGTGAACGTGACACGCTGCTGTTATTTCTAACTATTGTAATTTTCTGTTTCACAGCTTCTGGTTGAAGTCTGAATAAGATGCAGCATTGTTCCTGTTTTCTTTGGTTAAGATGTACCTTTTATTCACAGAAGACGACGGCGCTCTGAGTGAGAATGGGTTGAAACCTGGTTCTGAACCAGAGAGCAGCCATGATGGCGAGGAGCAGCCTGGTACGGCCTCCTGCAGTCCTCGTGCCCTGATGCTTTACCGCTTCAGTTTGCATGCTTCAGTCCGAGTGTAACCCAAGTCCTTCTGCTTCTGTTTCTTCACAATCACTTCTCTTTATTTGCAGATAAAATCAGAGAAAAGCTGCTCGTAATGCTTTTTACTGAACATTTCCTCCTGTGTTATTTTACTGCCTCCAAATAACTTTAGCATTTTGTTTTCCTGAGTTAAACCTGCTCTTCCGTGTTTTCAGCATTAGCCACACGGGCTCCTGGCACGCTGTGCTCCTGTCAAAAACAAAAACTAAGTGCTGGTTGATGACTGATCAGATCAAACTTTATACTGAAGTTTGTTCATCCTGCAGCAGAAACTCCAGAGACACTCGGAGCTGAAGTGTCTGAGCTCTCAGAGAAAGAGGGCGCCTTGAGCGAAGACAAGGGGCAAGTTGGTATGCCTCCGTTTGCTACGCCTCCTCCTGCTTGTGCTGCATTTGCTCCTCACAGCTTTATTTGTGCAATCATGCGAAATCCATGAAAACACACGTTAGATTTTATTTGTCCCACTCTGCTTGCTATCCTTCATATTTTAGCCTGTTGGCAGCCATAGCAGCTCACTGTGGTGACGTAACAAGGGTTTTTAGGTAAACTTATTTTTAAAATGCATCTTTTAAAAGGAGGTATTTATTCTGAAACATCTTTGTTAGCCTCCGCTGTTCAGTCGGCCACCCTTTATGCCGTGTGCTCTAGATTGTCTGGACATGTTTTAAGTGCAGCCCTGATCTTGATGAGTCGAAGTGAAGTGCAGTCGTCGTTCACCTCTGAGTGATCAGGTGGAGAGTGGGAACAATGGTCACACCAGGAAGTTAGCTAACCGTGGTCCGTGTCTGTGTTCTGATTTTTGTTTTTTTCAGCAGCAGAAATAAAAACCCAGCTTGGTTTTTGTCCGTCTGTTCTGAGGTTTTGTGTTTTCTCTTTGGCTAACACGTTTTCACGATGCTGCTTCATACGCAGCTGCAACGTGATCATAACCAGACTAAAATAGAAACACGATCGTTTTTAACTGCAGAGATGTTTACTGCTCATTTTAGAACCCCAGAAAAGACCAAACCACCGGCGGATGTGATGTGTTACACAGATGCACGGCTGAAGAACCAGATCTTCACATCTTCACCCTCATTTGCATATTTGTCTTTTTCCTTTTGAATGACCCGTTCACCTGACAGGTGTGGGCTCTTTGCTTTAACTCAAGACAAGCTGCTGCTGCATGGACTGATTTTTATTTTTTTGCCATGAGTGAATCCGTTAGTCAGTCATGAAAGACAAAGACTAATTAAGGCTCTTGTGTGTTTTTCCATCCGTCTCTCCATGTTCAATAAGCAGCAGGAGGAGCTTCTTCAACAGGTGGGCTGCTAGACATCTTATTGGTCTCATGGTTTTTAGATGGATGCATTCAGAACTCCAGGTGGACAGTGTTATGAATCAGAGATGCAAACAAAAGTACTCAAACGTCAAAATAAAAGATGGTAAATGGCCTGTATTTGATATAGCGCCTTCTAGAGTCCTAGAACCCCCCAAAGCGCTTTACAACACAACCAGTCATTCACCCATTCACACACACATTCATACTCTGATGGTGATGAGCTACAATGTAGCCACAGCTGCCCTGGGACGCACTGACAGAGGCGAGGCTGCCGAGCACTGGCGCCACCGGTCCCTCCGACCACCACCAGCAGGCAACGTGGGTTAAGTGTCTTGCCCAAGGACACAACGACAGCGACAGACTGAGCGGGACTCAAACCAGCAACCTTCCGATTACGGGGCGAGCACTTAACTCCTGTGCCACCGTCGCCCAAGATCAGTTCCTCTCACGGGTTTGGACAAAACGATGGATGGAAACTAAACGATCTCTTATTTTCTAAAACTGCCAGATACAAAAAACATTTAAAAACGTCTCTAGTATTCACATCCATCACTACTTATTACTAGCCTGGCAAGCCAGACTAAATAAATGTATTATTTAGTCTGGCCACGCTCCATTGACGGCTCTCAGTTGTGGGGCGGGTTCTACCGTTGTCTTTCAAATGATCTCCGCATTCCACTGGACAATGAATGTGACATACTCTTGTTTCACTCTGTTGCATCATCCCACCCACCAGGCATATAGAGTGCTCTGATTGGCCCACAAAGCGGATAAAGCTCAGTGATTTGTTCACCAAGCAGATAGAGCACTATGATTGGCCAACCGTTATGGACCAATCACAGCTCGTTATGTGTTTGAAACCCCTCTAGAGAGTTGTGATTGGCTAGCCAGAGTCCTGGTAGGAGCTGTGGCGATTCCAATGGAGCATGCCTAGACCAAACTTTGCAAAGCAAGAATTTGGTCTAGTTCACTAGGCTAACTTATTACACTTGACACTGGAGCGTGTCCGTTTTATGAGCATGTTCAGTATTTTAAAAACGTTTTTGTAAAACCTTTAATATTTTTGATATTTATGAATGTTGTGATCACATTAAGAAGATTGTTTTATATAAAATGCTCACAAATGATCCCTGGAGTGCTGCAGCACTCATCAGCCACTAATCATCTCCTTCTTCTACATCATTTTATTCATTCTAGTGTTCTCATTTTCTTTGTCGTTTGGTTTCTGTTTCAACGCGAGAGGGAACTCGCGCTGTAATTTCTCATTAATCTGCTTTTTAAATTAAATCAGTGCATCCTGGTAATGGAGTCCTCGGTGCCTCTGCTCCTGCTGTGAATGGAGCCAGTGGGAAGGCCATTGACCTCACGGGAGCTTCCGGTTGTCTGGATCCAGAAGTTGGGGGGGGGGGGGGGGGGGGGGACTCTGGGAAGAGGCTGACTGATTCCCAGTGGGTCTCTGCAGACCACAGCTGCAGGTCTGACATCAGTCAGGACATAGAGGACAGTGGGGGGCCCTGAGTGGACCGGACCAGCGGACTCTCTGAGGGCGATAAGCCTCGATGCAACTGAGTGTTTGGAGCAAATCAGCAGTCCACCGAGGATATCTTTAGTCCGCAGCAGTGCTGTGGATGATCTGACGTCCATTGGAGACAGAAGCTTGTTGGTCAGCAAGGGGCTGGAGGTCTTCTCTGGTCAAATTAAGGATGTTCTGACTGCTGATGGGGCAGATTTAAAGTCCTACAGTGACTCTAGAAGCAACAGAGACACACAACAGGCTCCTCAGGAGCAAAGCCCGTCCCAGCCCCCAAAGCTCTGAAGCCAGAAAGTCTCTGGTGCCGGTCTCGGTTGTCAAAGGTCTGTTTGCTGTTCACCAGAACCTCTGCAGTTAAACTCCTCCCACTTGGGTTTACAACGCAGCTTCAGCTTTCAGTTACGCAGCACTCTTTCTCCAAAGCATTCCTAAAGATGCTGAGCTGGGGAGCTGGTTGACCCCCACCTCCCTCCTCCCCACCTGAGCTTCTGGTTATGCAGCCTGAAACATGAGCCCACATGCACACATGCATCACGTTTGTTGCGCGCTGCTTCAGGCGCCGTGGAGAGATCCACACTCAGAGTCAGCTCTGTGCGTTTCAAACTAACTGTTAAACACGAGTCGCCGTCTAACTGCTGCTCTTCTCTTTTCTTCTGCAGCTCAAGCAAAGACAAACTCTGGAGATAAGGTATAAAGCCTCTCAGCAGTCTTTTGTAGAAACATAAACTATCATCAGTCATTGTTTCCGTTTTAATTTAAAGTCATTCTTTAGTTTTACGTTTGATGTCATCGTAGTTTTGCTTTTTCATGAATGTTTCCTCTTCATGACAAAGACTCAGTCAGCCACCAAATCAGCCCGCTCCCCCAATCCACCGCCTCTTATCACCAGGAGCAACAAAGCTCCCGCTTCCTCCCGGAACGGCCACAGCTCCATCCCCATAAAAACCAGCAGCCCGGCGCCGAGGCGGCCCGGAGTAAGTACCGGTCCGACCATCCTAGAGCTCAGACCCCATTTGGACTGAGACGCTTGGCTCTCACTGATCCGTCCTGCCTGGGACACCACTTTAAATCTATCCAAAGTTTTACATTTTCACATTAACATTTTCGTCTCCATTCTTTCACGTCTGTTTGTGGTTTCCTAAATTCATAACGTTTGTTTTATTTGAGTTTTTACAAAGCCACAGTTGAAAGTTTCTGCTGAGAACTGAAGTTCTGTGATTTCCAGGGTGCCGCAAAGCCTGCAGGAGCCAAGACCTCTGGCACATCAGCAGCTCAGCCAGGTAACTACCACCTGAGAGGGACTTTTTTTCTAATAGGGTTTCATTTGATTTAGAGGCGAAGCTGAACTCTATCTTATGACACGTTGTACCTTTGTGACACAGCTAGTGCCGGGAAACCCCCCACTCCAAAAACTGGACAAGGTAAAAGAAAGAACAAACTCAATTTGAGCCGACTTTCTGCCTTGCATGGTCTGAAGACCATAGTTTGATCTGCAGGCTCAAACATGGTCAGCTCCTAGTCACTAAAGCTGGTAGCTAGCTTCTGTTGTTCTAGTTTAAACGATCTCTCCCCGTAGCTCTGTGATGGAGCGTGTTCAGATCCTAACCTGGAATCTGTTTGATTGCTGAAGATGCCAGGAGTGGACACAGCAGCCCCGGCATGCCCAAGTCTCCCGCCAGCCAAGCACTTTCTGCAGCCGAGGCCAACAAGGTCAAAAAGATCGCAGTGGTACGATCCAACCCCAAATCTCCAGGCTCGCTGAAGAGCCGTTCTCCGGCTCCTCTGGCCGCTGCGGTGCCGATACCGGACCTGAAGAACGTCAAGTCCAAGATTGGCTCTACGGACAACATCAAACACCAGCCTGGCGGAGGAAAGGTAAGCTGAGTCCACCGCACAAGCAGCCAGCAGAAGATCTTAACCACCTTAGCAGGGGTGTGTCCAGGGAGTGGCCTGGGGTAGCACATGCCACCCTTGGAATCTGATTGGCCACCCCCAGGTGCCAACACACTAATTTACCTTTACCTTGTCCACAAAAGGCTTGGGGGTAAAACAAGAAAAGCATAACCATTGGTGCCACCCATGCACAAAGTTGTGCCTCACCTGGGCCACCCCATTTCAAAAGATCTGGACACGCCGCTGCACCTTAGTTTGTTTTACAGCAGACAGAGCCTGTGCATGGATCATGGGAAGCTGCACATCTAAAAGTTTATTATGTTCTCAGCGGAAACTCGCAGTTTAGTAGGAAGACTGCGGAGAATAGATACAACCAGCTCTGGAAGAACCAGCTCTCTAATGTGAAGTTGGGTTCTGAAGTGAGTTTAGGGGTGACTGATGAACATCCTCAGTCTGTAGAAACTGACTGGGTTAAGCATACAAACAGCTAATTACAGAGGTCAATCTTCTCACCGCTCCACTAGGACCAGCTCTGGTCTCACACCGGATCAAACCTAGGTTCACTGCATAAAGAAGTTAGTTTCAGCATCTGAGTCATGGCCAATCCATCCAGGGTGTTCACTTTGAACATGTTCCAGGTCTGAAAGAAGACATCTCTGCAGCCCCGGAACCAAGACCTCCTCTGTTCTGGTATGCAGGGCTGGTTCTTATGTTCAAACGAGTTGTAAAGGTTTCCACGACTGGTCCAGAATAGAGCTCCACTTATGTTGAGAGAGACCCCGTTCTACTTGTTCTGAAGAACCAGACATCTGTTAATTTCTAGGTGCAGTACCTTCTCAGTGGCCTAATGGTAGAGTATCCACCCTGGGACTGGGATGTCGGGGTTCAAATCCGGGTCAGGTCATACCAAAGGCTATAAAAATGGAACCCAAAGCCTCCCTGCTTGACACTCAGCTCTAAAGGCTTGGATCGGAGGTTAAACCACCAAATAGTTCCAGAGCACAGCCACCGCTGCAGCTCACTGCTCCCCTCTGTGGGGATGGGTCAGATGCAGAGATGTGTGAGTGTGTACTTGTATTTATAGGTTTATGTGGACAAATTTTAACTTTTAACCTGTAGTATGTGGGCATTTTCACATTGTGGGGACATTTGTCTGGTCCACACGAGGACAGAATACCCTAAAATGTGGTTTTAGAGATGTGGTGTGAATTAACTTTTGTTTAGGTAAGGGTTAGGAATAGAACAGCATTGGTTACGGTTAGGACTGGGGTATGGGTTAGACATAATAGTCACAAAAATGAATGGAAGTCAATGAAGGGTCCACACAAGCATAGAAATACAAGTATTTGTGTGTAGTGTGTGTGTGTGTGTGTGTGCGTGCGTGCGTGTGTGTGTGTGTGTGTGTGTGGCTTTATAGATTCATAACAGGACCAGTGATCATTTATTCTCCCTGAACCTGCATCCTGGTGAACACCTCCGCTACGAGTTAGTCTAGTCTTCTGTTTCAGGGCTCGGATGTCAGACTGCTTCCCACTCCACATCTAAAAACTGTCATTTTTATTTTTCCAGGTACAAATCCTTGATCAGAAGTTGGACGTTAGTAATGTCCAGGCTAAGCTTGGCTCCAAAGACAATCTCAAACATGTTCCTGGTGGAGGAAATGTGAGTAACTGAAGGACAAACTCATCATCAGACTCTTGAGTTTCTCTGCAGTTATGAAAATCTAAAGCAAGTTTCTGTGATTAAAACCAAACAGCTCCTTAAAAATGATTTGCTTTAGAAAAGATCAGATGTGGTGATAGAAGTGTCTTCTAGCACTAAAACAGAAAGCGTTATTTAAAGAGTAAAATGTGATCTGTAATATTTATATACATGCCTGGACTTTGGCAGCAAGTACTCTTGGGACTACGGACATTTGATGTGGGTCAGTTTGAATTTTACCTTTTACTTTCAGACTTTCATTCAGCTAAACACGCTAAATCATTAGCCCTGCTTTAGAGAACAGTACACCTCAGCTCAGGTACCTTTTGGAGAACCTTTTATGGAAATCCTTTCCCTTTGGGAGGAGAAAGTTCAGGTAATGCTGAACCCTTCAGACTGTTTGGTGATTCGTCCAGACAGCTCAGCTGTACTCAGCCCAGATAGCCTTCAGAGGACACAGCAGTCTACAAAAGGTTTACATGATAAATGACCCACACTTGTGTAGCGCCTCTCAGAGTAAGGACTCCAGAGCACAGTGTTTATTTCATCCATTCACACACTGGTGGTGATGAGCTATGAGGTAGCCACAGCTGCCCTGGGGCGCACTGACAGAGGCGAGGCTGCCGAGCACAGGCGCCACCGGTCCCTCCGACCACCACCAGCAGGCAAGGTAGGTTAAGTGTCTTGCCCAAGGACACAGCAGCAGAACTCTCTGTCCGGAGCCGGGATCGAACCTGCAACCTTCCGATTACCGGACAACCCGCTCAACCTGTTGAGCTACTGCTGCCCACAGCGGAATGATGTCATCGCTACACCAAAAATTGGCTGATACAATATTGCAGACGTCATTTTGCACACATGAATGTGTTGGGTTATAGAAAAATGAAAAGATGGGTGTAGGTTGCAGATGTCCATGTTTCTTTTAGATGCTGTGCTACAAGCTAACACAGTGTAGCCACGCGACTCTAACAGCTTGGAAACACTGAAGCAGCGGGCGAAATCACGCAGCTGCAGTGACCAAATCCAAAATGTTGCCAAACGATCGTTGCAGGATTTTTGTGGGAACAGGCTTCTCCTCAACCAAACGCACCACCCCTCCCTCTACCGATGCAGGTAGTTATCGTCCATTCATCATCATCGAGGTGAACTGCTTAATGTGTCGTGATATCGTTTGGTACCAAAGCAGTTCTTCAGGGTAAAACAGAGAACGTGTAAATTACAGATGGCAGCTTTTGAGCTTTGGACTGACTGTTTTCTATATCTATCCTCATTTGTTCTGGGATTTTTCAGGTTCAAATCCTGGATAAGAAGCTGGACTTATCCAGTGTCCAGTCTCGCTGTGGCTCTAAAGACAACTTAAAGCACAAGCCAGGTGGAGGCAAGGTGAGAAATCAGCTCCTCTCTGTTGGGTTTAGAGCCAAGGGTTCCGATCCAGCGTGTTTTAGTTGTTTCCCTGCTTAAACACCTGATTTTAATCAGCAGGTAATTACCATGCTGAACAGGCGATTCAACCATTGAATCCAGTGTGTTGGAGCAGGGACACAACTAAAACATGTAGGATTGTGACCCTCAAAGACCCCCTGGTTTAGAGACTCGTACCAAAGAACCAATGTTTCATTCATTAGGAGCTTCACATTACTTGTAATAAAGTAATTATTGGTAATCAAAATAATGCAAATGTGTATGTATGTGAATGAATCTTTAAAAGAAGTAATAAAATAAAATAGAAGAAGAAACACAAGAAGTGAATCAGTGTTTTTAGTAATCAAACCTATATGCGAATGTACCACAGAAGGAATTAGTGATTAGTATTATAAAAGTTTAATTATAAAATGAACTTTAATTAGTTACAAAATATGTAAAAATGTTGTAGAAATAATAAAATCTCTAGGAACTGACAAATAAAAGAAAATTGAATTTGCATTTAACATAACAGTTAGTGGATTTACAATGATCCCTCGTTTATCGCGGTAGATGTGTTCCAGACCTGGCCGCCATAGGTGAAAATCCGCGAAGTAGGGACACCATATTTACAGTATTTATTTAACAGGTACTTATTCAGTATTCAGGCTTTTAAAACCCTCCCTTTACATAGAAAAATTTTTTACTTTGTTTTTTTATAGTTTTATTACAAAAAGTGCATTTTATGATGAAATTGATGAAAACAAGAGGAATTTCTTGATATTTCACATAGAAAAATACCGCAAATCAGTGAAAAATACCACGAATCAGTGAAAAATACCGCGAATCGGCGAATTTCCCTTGAATAAGGCTTCAAAGAAAAAATCCGCGAAGTCATGAATCCGCGATAAACAAACCGCAAAGTAGCGAGGGATCACTGTACTCACTTTTAACTGTTATGAACTTAGTCATAGAATATAGAAACTCACAGCATGACATCAAAGTCGTCCAAGTCTGTACGTTATGTTTAGACATGAATTCCATCCACACACACACACATACACACACACACACACACACACACACACACACACACATACTCAACAGAACTTGCGTGACTTGAAACAGAGAACAGAGGGAGAGGAGGCAACAATCATCCTCCCTTAAACACTGCTGGAAATACGGCTAGAGACAGAGATGTCGTTGGAGGCGGCTTGCCGGTAGGTGATGGAGTACCATTTGGATTTTTAGGCGTCAGAGTTACTTTTGGATGGTTCCCCAAAAGGCGTAGAGTGAGTCCCTTAAGGTGGACAACCGTGTGGAGAAGTGACGGAGTAGTGCATACGCCAACCCATGTGACACACAGCAGATGAAGAATGCAGTGAGGAAAATGACAGTCAGAGGAGGACCAGGAGTAGGTAACAGGTTGAAAGGAGATGTTGTCATAGAAGGGAGAAAACTCTACAACAGACCTGAGTCGATCTGGAGAGAGACCTCACCGGTGTGGACCATGGAGGTCTATAATACATGCTGTCAGGGGAGAGGGACTTCCCTTCTAAGCTTGGTGACGTGACGTTTGACAGTATCAGTCTTAAAGGAGTTGACTGATGAGAAGCCCAAGTTAAAGAGAGACCCAAATGTATTATCAAATGAGAGAAACTCGGGAAGGAAAATGACAGTCAGAGGAGGTGCTGTGGGTTCCAGAAATTACAGAATTAGAAACTTTGAATTTCTGTACCTGTAGTAGCATGTGAGAGATGTCGGTGTTGGAGTGCCACATTCTCGTGTGAGTTGAGTTGGTACCTGTGTCAGAAAGTGCGTTAAAGGAACTCAACAGTTTCCTAGTGCATGTCATGTCCGGGTCAAACTGTAAGAAAATAATTAGTGTGAATAGATGGTAGTTAGTCATTAATGGGCCATTCCCATCTGTACTGGGTCGGCCCGGGCCGGGTAGCCCCAGTCGGCCCCAGCCTGGCCCGGTTGATTCCACACATCCTTGTCTTAAGCCCATGTGGGCTGATTCTACCCACCAATCAGAGGCTTGCTCTAATGGAAGGTGTGAATTTGCTGTCAGCAGTGGGTGTGTTGGCCCTGGTCCGCCTGAAGCAGACCCCCTCGAGAAGAGGGCTGAGAATGAGCCTTGGTTGGCCCGGCAAAATACCAGGCCACCCAGATATGTAAACAACCTACGCTACCCGGCCCGGGCCGACCCGGTACAGATGGGAATGGCCCATAACCGACCTGGGCTCTCCCTGAGCGTGGTACCTGAAGAGGAACCA